ATCACGCAAAGCCTGCTACTTCTGGTCGAAGACATTAACGACAATGTGCCGATTTTTCGTCCACATCCTACCTCATTAACACTTCGGGAGGATTCGCGCCCGGGTATTTTAACAACGGTGGAAGCCACCGATGCAGATTTGGGTGCTCACGGTCAAGTAGTGTATTACCTTCAGGAGTTGGATGGTGATAACAACGTTTTCAGCATATCGACCGTCAATGGCAAAGGCGTTATACGCTTAGTGGGTTCTTTGGATTACGAACGAAAGTATCTGTATCAACTGCGGATTTTGGCTGTAGACCGTGCGATAAATGAAAAGGTATATTTCCTATTTCAATAGGCACTATTTTTTATTAAATGCTAAATTGTTTAAATATCGCGAACGGTAGAAGAAAATTGAAGCTGCATTGAAGATTATTTTATTTTTAGAAATATAATTTAATATTCCGTGTGTACGTTATCTATATCTTGTCTATTTGAATGAGATACGTTTGTTCAACATTTTAAAAATTATTAAGGGTATCGCTTGATAAAACGCTACGTACGGACTATTACGTAGATAAAACCCGTACGATCTGCGATTTCTGAATAGTTCAATGACTTTTCCCTGTAAAGTCAAGCGCAGTGAAGGATGAACAATGCTGGAAGATAATTATCTATATAAGCGTCGTTACAGTTATTTATTATAGGCGTTTCTTTTCAAGGAAACTTCCTGCAAGATAATTTACTTATACTTAATTATTCTACATAAATACTTAATCATTCTAGGTAAATACGGGAACGACCGCGATTTTGATTAAAGTGCAGGATGTGGAGGACCAACCGCCGGAATTCATAGCCATGACACCCGTCGCAAGAATCAGCGAAAATGTCAGAATTGGCACATCCGTTTTGCAAGGTCAGTATTATATCTTACAAATAAAATAACGTCAAAACTTTGCTTTTACGGGGATTAATTTGCGGGAATTAATTTAATTTAAAAGCCGAATAAATAAGCGAGTAACAAAATACATTTATAATGAATGATGTTGCCTAATTAAGACGAGAAATTAACAAAGATGCGGTAATGGGCAGTTTTCAGCCAATTAATTTAGAATTTTACGTTTCGACATACTTCGGCACACTTGCAGCACGTGCAATGATATGCGTGTGCACACGCATATTCGACTCTTCTGCTTGTTCAACGCTAGAACAATTACAGATCTAAGTTATCTCGGTCTAATAACCGCACGTAATATGCATTTTATTCCATTATGACGGCAGAATAAGAAATATACGATCATGTAAGACCATGATCCGTTGTTTCTTCATTACTGCCTTTTAAAACTAGGGTAGACTCAGTTCTAAGTCTATATCTTCAGATGATGTAGCTAAAGTATTAAACGAGCTGTGATCGTATATATTTCGCGTTTTATTTTGTGTAGACTTGCTTAATAAATATTATTAGATATCGAAACGTTTTAATCGTTTCCATATATTGTTCTATTGTGATTGTGAATTATATAAGATTTTGTGATTTAACGACCCGATAATAAATCTCGTTACAGTTCGTGCTGTGGACGGTGATAAGGGGATAAACAACAAAGTGACTTATAGCATCACGAAGGGACCGAGATATCTGTTCGATATTGATGCGACTTCCGGTCTCGTATTCACGAGAGCGCAATTGGACAGGGAGGCCGAGGAGAATAGCGATGGGACTTTCATTCTAGAAATTACGGTGAAGGAAGTATCGAAGATTAACCCGCCGCCGTCTGTCAGTACCGAGGTAACCATTATTCTCACTGACGTAAATGATGAAACGCCGACATTTCGAAGTATGCTATACCGTGCCGAGATAAATGAGAACGCACCGGAAAATACACCAGTCAATTTTATTGGCGATGCGGTACCAGAAATTTTCGATCATGATTTGGTAAGTTGAGATCCGAAAGGTCATATTACTTTTTTTATATAGAATTACGCAACATCACGCAAAAAATTAGAAAAAAAAGTACCGCGTTCTTGCAAAGCAATTTCTTCTTATTGCATTTTGAAAATGTTGCTTGCAAGTACAAATACATTTTTTTTTCAGGGTACGAATGGCACGTTCCAAATATTCATTGAAGGTGATGGTGGAATATTTGATGTTACGCCATTTCGTGGGATTAATGAAGCGCCATTTTTAATTCGCGTTAAGGATTCGAGCAAACTTGATTTTGAGAAAATATCTGGTAAAGCCATTCTTCTATTTTTTTTTTATTATACTAGACACTACAGATGCGCGTTATTTATCTTTTTAAACAGATCAAAAATTATAAAATACTGTTATACTGGATTAAGAAGATATTGACAATATCGACCGCATGATCTATCATGATCTATCCGATAGATGGCACACGTGTTTGTTTTGACGGTGGCGGCATATCTCATTTCAAAGCGCTAGTACTACACGTGTTTTCACACTTTTTTTGGAAGGCAAAAAAGGTGTAAACATCTAAGCAAAAAATTCCTGCGGCGTTTTTTCGTGTTTGTTTTTTCGTGGGGGGGCGCACCTGTGGATTTCAAAATGCTATAACTTCTTTAAAAATCAACGTAGAGACATGGGACAAAGACGAATCTTCTTCATTTTGTATTCCGCAAATGTTTATGTTAAATACATATATTCTTATCATGATACATATCATGTGTGTGTATATATAAGACATCCGAATATGACAGAATAAAATAGAAAATATCTCGTAAACTATTGATTATTTGATATTTGTACTTTATAAATTTGTACTTTTTTTATCCAAAATAAATAGAAGACTGCGTAACAAAAAATATACTTCCATTTAAAAAATGGAAAAGCGACAATAACTTTGATTATATTCGAGTATCGACTTAATATGTCTTTTTCAGAGAAATAGAATTAAATTACAATGAATGCATTATTGTCAAATTAATATTAACATGTTTTTGTTACATTCGTCTTATACAACATAAACTTATGGATTTGATTTTTACAGTGGTAAATTTTACTCTCGTTGCGAAAGAAGTCACACCGGTTTCGCCGAAATACAGCGCGGTACCGGTAACAGTTTTTATAAAAGATCAAAATGACAATTATCCCGAGTTCACAAAGAGTATCTACGAAGTGTCGATACCAGAGAATTGTGTCGAGGGAACGACTGTGGCTTGGGTGCAGGCTTTGGACGGAGATAGCGGTAACTTTGGAACGCATGGAATACGATATACAACTTTAGGCGGTAGCATTGCACACGCGTAAGATAATAAATTATCAAAATAATTCTTAAAAACAATTATTATATTATAATTTAGATTTTTATGATTACGAGAGAGTAAAAAGCAAAAAACATTGAAAAAACTTTATGGTTCAGTATAATTAAAAAATTAATATCCCAAATAAAATGTTAATAAAAATAATAAAAAATAATGAAACTTATGATATTTAAAATAATGTTTTCATTATAGATTAGCAATGGACCCTCTCACCGGCGTGATCACGGTCAAACATCCTGGACCCAATTTTGATCGCGAATTAGTTGCACGACATTTTCTCACCGTTGAGGCACGAGATCATCTTGGAAAAGGGAATCGCAACGCTGCGCAATTGATAATTAATATCGATGATGTTAATGACAACGCTCCTATATTTTTGCAAAATAAGTATGAGGCGGTGTTATTGGAGAACGAAGATCATTTTGAATCGCCTCTGATCGTCGAAGCATCCGACAATGATTTAAATGGTTAGACAGTATTTAACAAATAAAAAAAAAATAACATTTCTATTTACGATTTATATGATTTATATCTATACAGGGACGCGAAATAGTGAGATTGTCTATGCTCTGGTATCAAGCGAATTCTCCCGAAATTTCACCATTGATCCAAAACGTGGAGTTGTTACTCCCATCCATCCCCTAGATTACGAAGCTCTACCTATCAATCAAGGACACAAAGAAACAATTATACGACAATTGAAATTGACGGTGAGAGCTAGAGATATGGGTACACCGAGTCGAACTTCTGATGTTCCTTTGATTGTTTATTTGAAAGATATTAACGATAATGCCCCAGTTTTCGAAAGAGTTTTGTATAAGAGAAGCATTTCAGAGGATTTACCCGGTGGCACAAGCGTTGTACAAGTACGTAATTATATAATATTAAATTATGTATGTAGACGTCAAAGTTGTATATAGATGCAAATTTGGAAAATGAAAAAAATTATAATTAGAAGAAAAAGATTAATTAAACGTTATCGCGGAAAAACGATGAATAAGGAATTGTTTGCATAGGTGAAAGCCTGGGACAAAGATTTGTCGTCGCCAAATAATAAATTAGTTTACCGGATTCAGAGCGGAGCCGGAGACAAGTTTGTAATTAGTCCCGAGACAGGTGTGATCCGAGTTGCGCCGGGTTCGAATTTAGATCCGGATCTCACGTCACCGAAAACCACAAGATATAACTTAAATGTTATCGCTATCGATAGCGGGACGGAAGTTCAACGGACGGCCGAAGTTCTAGTGAATATCACGATTCTAGACGTCAATAACAAGCCGCCAGTTTTCATCGATCCTGGGACTGTCACCATCAGAGAAAATACTCAGGTGCGTCATCAAGCGCCTCTCTCTGCTATTTCTAAATTTCTAAATTTTATTAATAGATAAATGGATTGTAATTTTAGGTCGGTGCTTACGTACATCGCATAATGGCGCAGGATCCAGATGTAGCTCCGATCTTACGTTATCGAGTAGATCCCAATTCATCAGAAGCTCGAAATGAGGAGGGTACTTTGATTAAAGTGCAAGAATATGACTATCTAGCAGCGTTGGAGTTAAATGCATTAGACGGTTTGCTGCGTATTGTAAGACTATTGGATAGGGAAAAAGTAGAAACTATCAGACTAGGACTTGTAGTCGAGGATTTGGCCGCGATAAGAGGCTTACAAACTGCATCCGGTTAGTTTTAAAAATAGTTTAAAGTAGTTTTATGAAACCACAATTTTTTTCCTTCAAATCTTTCTGTGAAAATCTTCAATAGATTTTCAAGAAGATTCTTTTGTCGCAAAAATGGTTTTTATGGTATCAAAGCGTAATACAATATGCAAATGTTTGCAGCCACGCTGAGTATAATTATTGAGGACGAGAACGATAATAATCCTAAATTTCGAAGACCGTTTTATAGACGTTCTGTTACCGAGAATAGTAAAAACGGCGTTAATATCGCGAATATCGTCGCTGACGACGCCGATAAAAATCGTAGTATCACGTATTCTTTGCAAGGCCCAAAAGAAATCACTGATCTTGTACATTTGGATCCTGAAACCGGAGAAATGGTCGTCGCTAACAAAATCGACAGAGAAATGTATTCGTGGCTAAATTTAACTGTTAAGGCCACGGACTCTGGAATTCCATCTCGGTAAAAATCTCGCAATTTAATAATTATTAAGTAGGCTAAGTGTTAGTATAAGTGGATTTGTATTAATTTTCTAAATATCTTTGACTTTATTACTGTCTTTAATTTTAAAAATAACAGAAATGTGTGTGATTACTTAAATAATAACTTTTGCATTAGAAAATTAAATAATAATATTCTAGTATTATTTTTCTATTGTATGATGCAACTATATTGAATTTTATAGATCAAGTTTATCGGAAGTGTATGTTCAAGTCTTAGACGAAAACGATAATAATCCGTATTTCATATCAAATATCAGTAATGTAACTGTCATCGAGAATTCAAAAATTGGCACGGAAATCAGTGTTATACAGGCAACAGATTCCGATAGTGGAGATTATGGAAAAATTACTTATCTTTTAGATAGAATGTCATCTCAGGTACAAAATGCAAACACTGTTTCTCCTATTTTTTTTCGTAATAATATCTAAAAATATATAAAAAAGTTTTTTTACAATTATTTTATATTTATTTGCAAATTTGTATCCAATAATATTTAATTGTATTCACTTAGATGATTATATATGGTTATATATTAATTTACACAACTTCTTGTTGTAATGGATTATATTTCAAACAGGGAACTTTTGCTATCCATCCAGAAACAGGATCGTTAACAGTGGCTGATATTATAGACTGGGAGATCAAACATAGTTATGTTTTGGTCATAGAAGCTTGGGATAATTATCAATTTGGTTATACTGCGGGAGAGTCTCGAAATGCGTTTAAACAGATTCAGTATGTTTACGAACTTTAAAATACAGATTTTTAGATTCATTGATCTCGTGATAAATATAATTTTTTTATAATAATTTAATTTTAAAATATAAATTACTTAGAGAGCGTTATTGTAAAAAAAAAATACTGTTTTAGAATTACAGTTATTGATGTGAATGACAATGGTCCGAAAATGGATCTACCTCAAGACTGTATATCGATATCTGAATTTCATGATATACGAGAGTTAATTTATGTTATAAAAGTGAAGGATGCTGATGATCCAATGACACCGAATGGACGCGTTATAATTAGGATCACTTCCGGCAATGAATTAGGTGTGTAATTAAATTCTATGAATATCATTTTGATTTAATGCTTGATATTAATGTTTAATATTAATATGTAAACATGTTTATTACATATTTTAAAATTAATGAAATTCTGGTACAAACATCATAATTTTGAAACATTAAATACGACTAATTTCGTGATAATATCGATGAAATTATGGTCGACAGGTTTATTTATATTGGAACAAACTGATTATTGGACAGCAAAGATAAAAGCTGCTTTGCCATTGAGAGGAAAATTCGGGAATTACACGTTAAATATCGAAACGCGCGATCTGGGAACTCCGTCCAATAAGGACAATGGAATTTTGAAGATATGCGTCACGGATTATAATGATAATCCCCCTTTATTTGTCAGTCCCCAACACAATACCACCATCCGTGTTCCAGAGGTTCGTGTTTCTGTTCAATTTGCATAATGCTGCATTTCTGATGCGCCCGAAATGGCGTTAATCTTATGTAATGAAACGATTTCAGAACATAACAGTAGGAAGTTCAGTTATTCAAATTGAGGCGAGAGATGCTGATACGGGATTAAATGGCGATGTGCATTATCGTTTGAAACAGGACCTCGCGGGTCATTGGAAAACTTTTCACATCGACGAGAAAACCGGCGTAATATCATTAAACTTACCGCTCGATAGAGAAACTCAGAAATTATACGAGGTATGCAAACACATACACACATGAGATTTAAATTTCCTTCTGAATAATTATTTAATTATTTTATAAATTTTATAAATAAAATTATTTTAATATGTATATAGATACGAGTTGAAGCATACGATTTGGGTACTCCGACGCCTTTAAGTTCAGATCTCGATCTAATTATTTATGTGCGCAACATCAACGATTTCGAGCCACAATTTTCAGTGAGCACTTTTAATATCAACTTCACGGAGGAACAACTACCAGGATCGGAGATGGCGTTACTTCCAGATACGTTTGACAATGACGATGTTGACGATTTGGACGATCCTCCCACTCAAGTCTGTTATTTCATAGTTGGCGGAAACGATGATGGATTATTCGTTTTAGATATTTATAAACACGAACTCAGTGTAAGTTGCTTGTTAAAATAATATGCTATTCAGACAAATGTTTTGACATATATAATTCATATCTTTTGTCTTTTGACAACTTGAAGAAAATTAATATTATTCGTTGCTTAGACTGCCAAATTGCTAGACAGAGAACAACAAGAAGAACATGTGTTACTTATTAAAGCAACGGAGGATTGCAAGACCGTGCCGGAGAATGAAACAACATTCGATAAAACCGATGCCACTTTATTACAAGTTGTCGTAAAAGTTGATGATATCAACGATAATGCACCGCAGTTTATTAAAAATGTTTTTACGGGTGGCGTTACCACCGAAGCCGACTTTGGCACGCAATTTATGCATGTTAAGGTAATTTTATATCGTGTTCTCAGCAACATCACTATTTGTGCGAGGGCGTGTGATCTTTTTTTTTGTGTAAATTTTTTATAAGACATGCAAATTTTAATATTATTTTATAGGATTAATTAATACTTAATTTTAATATTTTTTAAATGCATTTAAAATGCACTATGTAAATGAATTATAGGCAACTGATGCGGACGCTGATGACAACGCTATACTCAGTTATTATCAAGTGGGCAAAATTCATATGACATTAACTGAAGGTTTCGAAGATATGCAAATGCAACCTTTTTTAGTAAATAAAGATGATGGAGCAGTGAGTCTTAATTTTGATCCTCAACGAGGGATGAAGGGCTATTTTGATTTTATGGTATATTTATTTCAATAATATATATCATATTTTTATTTTAATAAAATATATTACATTTTATTTTATTTAATAAAAATTTATTTGTTAAATAAAATATTTCTTCATATAACATTATATAAATTTAGGTACTTGTTAACGATACATATGGTTTGCAAGACACAGCGAGAGTTTTTATCTATTTATTACGAGAAGATCAACGGGTTCGTTTTGTTCTCCGTCAACATCCGCCAGAAGTCAGAAGTAGAATTGAAACTTTCCGAGAGTAAGCAATATACTTCCCTCTTATTATTACTGAAATTAAGTAATAATAAATTATAAAGTTTTATTAAAGTAAAAAAAGACATTGGAAAAAGTAATTGAAATAACAACAATGAATAAAATTGCTGAAGTATCTAAAAATTTGAACAGATACAAATTTAAAAATAATTTTGTTGACCATCAAAATTACGTTTTTTTCGTATATTTAGTTCTAAAATAACATATAAATATCTGAGCTAGTATCTAAATTTTCATTCACAGAATTTTGGGTAATGTTACCAGTGCTATAATTAACGTCGACGAATATAAAGTGCATGAAAATCAAGATGGTTCTGTAGATAGAACGAAAACGGATTTATATTTGCACCTCGTGAATCGTCGAGACAATTCGATCCTCGAAGTATCCGAGGTCCTTGAATTGGTCGACAGGAACATCGAGAAACTCGACAATCTATTCAAGGAGTTCAACGTCCTCGACACGCAGCCAGCGAAACCCGAACCGATTATACAGTACGAACAAGCCGGAACGACTTTCTGGCTTCTCACGTTGACCTTATTTCTAGGAGCTTTACTGATTCTATGTGTTGCTCTATGTTTGTCCCAAAGAGCGTCTTTTCGCAGGCAATTGAAAGCGGCGAACGCATCACCGTTTGGTAACTTGAAATAAAAATTTATTTCTATCGCATTATCTATTAGTTCCACTTCTTAGTGTCTGCTATTCATCGCAACATTAAAATTGATTTTCCTACGTTATAATCTCAAAGGTGCATCGGATTCGGAATTTATCAGAAGTCCTGGTCGCGTGCCGAATACGAACAAACACAGTGTCGAAGGATCGAATCCCATATGGATGCACGCTTACGAAAATGAATGGTTCAAGAGCGACGAATCATTCAGCCATACCTCCGAAAGAGATTCCCTCGACGAAAATGCACTTAATAATGAAGAAATGATGAATGAAGCTAATACAAACCAAAG